AGACGAGATGTATATCACTTATTGCACTCTAAACGCTGATTTTAGATACGCTTTTCTTTTTCGCGAAACAATTACCGAAAGAAGTTACGAGCTTTTGAATGTTCAAAATTACTAAGCTTAATTGCCTTAGATACCGAAAAGCTCCAAAAAAGATGTAGATTTCTACCAGATTTGTTCTTCCTTGCAGACAATACACTTGATACAAAATTAATTAACCATTTCAGATGTTTCTGTACAGCTTTTCGCCAATTTCAGGCCGCTTAAAGGCCGGGAAAACGTCCGAGTCTCGACGACCATGTCCGCTTCCTCGCAAGGCCAATACCCTTGAACGAGATCTCCTCAGCTCTTGACGTGTTTTCACATGGCAAACACAATTGAATAGATAGCGTTTGCCCGTTAATGCTTGCTTTCAACAACGATAGCATCAGAAGCACTCGTCCAGGTTCTTATCCCCAAAAAGGTGTTTTGTTTGATAATTCACGCTTTTGAATGCCATGTCTGGAATCAGCGCCATGAAAAGGCCTGGATAACGTAAAAATATGGAAGTCGAGACTCTGCCTATACGCTGCCCTTAACTCTTTGGACCAGTTTTTCCGAGTAAGCAAAGAAGCCTCACTCCCACTGTTTCATACTGACTATTACATCAATGGCTTCATAGCGGAGCTTGAAGCCTTCTCAACCATAAAAGCGACTTCTTTTTGTTGTGAGTCCTCTTATCTTCTAACCGTGGCATGTTCTTAAGGGTGAATAATAATTTCAACTGCTATACTATGCCATACAGGTTGTTATCGCTATATATATATGAAACTCAAAAATTGTCTGTTTGGAGGTTATCTGAGTTATAAAATCGCGCGCCGTTCAACCGATTGGGCTGAAAGTTTGCACATAGATGTTCTCCATAGATGTTCTCGACCCCGGAGACGGTTTTAGCTACTTTTTGCGACGATTCACTGGGTTCTTCTATCGATTTATTGATTTGTTTACGTTGTTCTATGGATTGAAGGCTTATCATGTTTAATCAAGCATTTTGCCATAGTCTTGTAAAGGAGGGCGGTGAAGCTCAATTTCACCTCAGGATCACGTATGCGGCTTTGAAGCGAATGTCCCAGGGTAAGTTATCCATAACATATAAAAGGGGGGGGGGGGCTCGCAGTGCAGGAGAGCAATGGCCCGGTCTGGACCGGGAAAGCCAACTAGTAGATGACAAACTTTATTCAGACGTTTCGGCAAGACGCCGTCTTCAGGGCCGAAAAGGCGTCAATCACACTGATACACACAATCTCTTCCGCCAAATATCTCCACCGACTTGCCAGCCGATTCGTCTTGGGTGAAGGCAGGGAGTTTGGGGGCAAGGGTTCTCCACAAAGTATATCACCGATGTTGTAGCTAACAGCCGCTCCGGATGTGCTTGGTCGAATACGGTGTCAAATAAGCACTCAAGCTACTGTGGGGCTGCTTAAGTAGGGCACACAATCTTATAGTTTACAGTCGACAGATACAGCACCAAGTCACTCGTTATAGATAATTTCTCATTCTTGCTATTTAGTTTGGGCTCGCGAGCAAGAATGTAGGAGCCTTCCAAGGCTTTTCGTGCGAAAATTTAGTGTTCGTGGGCCAAGATTTTGCACCTGATATCATATTCAACACCGTTATGTTCGATCATTCTATGCTTTCTCAGTGGATTGATCATGCTTTGCCTCTTTTTGCTAGAGATGTTCGCTGATAGCACACTCAGTGGCCGGCTGGTTTCACCAATATATATGGCAGAGCACTTCGCACACTCAATTTGATAACACCAGATTTCGCACAATCTCCAATGTCAGTATGGGCACACAACGCAGTCTTTTGTGAGCAAGCTTTATCGTACAATCTATTGCGTATTAACAGCCTTCTAATCTTGTCTTGCGGGATGTTAACTAAGACGACATCTTCCTTAAGCTGTGCTTGTATCAGACACTGTTTGGATGCGGCAATGACCCTTTCGGAGATAAGAGGCAAACACAATGATACTCTATTAACAGCTCGTTCGCTTGTCTTTACAGTGTTTCTTTTCGAACATTTTTGTGCATAAAATATCCATTTGAATCTATTATTTCGATTGCCAGCTTCTGTGACTCCTGCCTTTCGGCCTACTGCAGATTTTCGCCGCTGTTTTGACCATATTATGTACAACGGCTCGTCTGACAGCTTCCGGATGTGCGCGTTTTGAGATAATGTTCTTATTACTGTCTTTACGAAACCACTTTACGTGCACCGCTCCATTGCTCAACATCAGCTGTGTGTAAAAAAACGGTAGTCAGCGGCAATGGGCCAGCGATTAGCGCCTGTTTTAGCAATATGTTTCATGAGCAAAGTAGAAAAACCGGTGCTATCCCGAGCCCCGCTTATGTATTGTCGTTATATCGACGACTGTTGCATATTCACGTCGACAAAGTTCGAAGTGGACGATTGTTTTCGAAGTAACATTTGAGATATATAAGTTTTACGAGAAAACCGCGCTACGGTTGGTTAGCGTTTTTGAACACACAGCTGATGTTGAGCAATGGATAGGTGCTGTAAAGTGGTTTCGTAAAGACAGTAGTAAGAACATTATCTTGCACGCAAAACGCGCACATCTAGAAGCTGTCAAACGAGCCGGTACGTAATATGGTCAAAACAGCGGCGAAAATCTATAGCGGGACGAAAGGCAGGAGTCACAGAAGCTGGCAACCGAAATAATAGTCTCGAATGGATATTTTATGCGACACAAATGTTCGAAAAGAAACACTGTAAAGACAAGCGAACAAGCTACCAATAGAGTATCATTGTGTTTGCCTTTTATCTCCGAAAAGGTCACTGGCGCATGTAAACAGTGTCTGATACAAGCACAGCTTGGGGAAGATGTCGTCTTAGTTAAGACAAGATTAGAAGGCTGAATACGCAATAGATTGTACGATAAAGCTTGCTCATAAAAGACTGCGTTGTGTGCCCATACTGACATTGGAGATTGCGAAATCTGGTGTTTATATCAAATTGAGTGTGCGAAGTGCTCTGCCATATATATTGGTGAAACCAGTCGGCCACTGAGTGTGCTATCAGCGAACATCTCTAGCAAAAAGAGGCAAAGCATGATTAATCCACTGGAAAAGCATAGAATGATCAAACATAACGGTGTTGATTACGATATCAGGTGCAAAATTTTGGCCCACGATCACTAAATTTTCGCAGAAAAGCCTTAGAAGGCTCCTACATTCTCCTCGCGAGCCCAAAATAACAAGAATGAGAAATTATCTATAACGAGTGACTTGGTGCTGTATCTGCCTTACTGTAAACTATAAGATTCTGTGCCTTAATTAAGCAGCCTCACAGTAGCTTGTGCTTATTTGACACCGTACTCGACCAAGCACATCCGAAGCGCTGTTAGCTACAACATCGTAATATACTCGGTGGGTGAACGTTCGCCCCAAAACTCCCTGCCTCCACTCAAGACAAATCGAGTGTCAAGTCGATGGAGATTTTAACGCAGAGATAGTGTGTATCAATGTGATGACGCCATTTTAGTCCTAAAGACGGCGTCTTGCCGAAACGTCTGGAAAAAAGATTATTATTATTATTATTATCTATAACAAGCTGTACGGCATAATATAGCAACTGAAATTATTTCTTTTTGCTTCTTTAATTTTTTGATTTTGCGTTTATTTTGAATTTTCAAATCTCCTTCGATATATGTGGACCCTTAAACATTTAGCAGTTACGTTTGCTCAACCTCGTATTAAAACATTCTGACAATATTATGAATATTTTTTGGCTAATAAACGAGACAGTGAAACAGTGCTCAAGCAGGCGCAAAGTATTCATCGTTTGCAATCTACTTGGTGGAAATGTATATATTGCGGACAGGAAAGCAAATGAACTCGCGGTTCTGAAGCTGCATTTGGAAGGCAAAGGCTATATAAGAGTTTGAGAGTGATGGGTAGTAAAATGATGTTCTTACGCCAGTACAGTAGGTTTCCGAATTGATGGTGGCAATTGCCACCAACAGGTCCGAAAGGGCTTAACAAAGTTGGACATTCGAACGCTCATGACTTCTTTCGAAAAGCTGTTACACAAAAAACGAAAGCAATTTTTGAATCAATTCAGAACGCTTTTAATGATAAACTCTCTCATTGATCGTCACTTTATGTTGGTATCCATCCCTTATTACTCACTTTCAAAAATGATGAAAGTTTCAATCAAAACCAAATTGTTAGAGTCCCTTTAGCACCATAATCTTATCTTCATAAAGGTTCTAGTTGATAAATAAATCCAGATTGTGTTCGCCGCTGCCGTTTAAGATACGCATCATGGATTCGGTAGAACGTGGAGTTGTGCCACAGCGCTTGCTTCGATGAAATTTACTACATTCTTAACGGCATATTTACAAAAGTTGGGACTGCAGCTATAGCATAGATGGGTTAGAACGGTTATTACATATGAGATTCTCAAATATTTGCTCGCACTTTCTGGCAGCTTCAGGGCACTATGCAAGCATTAGGTTAAAAATGTTATGTCGGAGCCAGCGCAAAATTTGGTACATTTTATGATTCACCTTTATACCGCAAACAAATTGCAGTGGAATCTGCTTTAGACAGCAGAAAAATTTTGACAATAAGCTCTTATAGAACTTCCTGCTTGTTGCTCATTCAAACAACATTAACTTTCGGAAAAGACATTTGACGTTGTCATGCGGTTGTTGACAGATGGCAACTATGATTATAGATGTAATAACGATCCCTTTTCACGATCCAAAGTATGAGGGTCATAATGATAGGCATACTTCCAAACAACCCCTTATTATGTACTTTAAAGCAAGATCTGCGATGTTTGAAAACGAGCTTATCAGTCACTCCAGGCTATAAATGATATCAAAATTCGAACGATGGTTTCAAAGCTTTCTTCGCTGATTTTAGACTGTTGCTCAATTTTCCACTTACCAGTGATTGTATAACCTAATATTTCGATAAGTGATGACAGGAAGTTGCAGAGGCACGTTGTAAAATGAATTTTTTCGTGGTTCTCATTCTTGCCGCACTTTGCGGAAGAATTCGTTCGAGAAGACTATGTTTTATGGTCCACAAAAGGTAAAATTTGATGACAAGCACATCTATCCTTTAATATTTGCTTCAGATACGAATGTCATGATGGAAAGTGTGTGACGGTTAGACTGTGCTCGCCGAAGCCATATCATTACAGAACATATGATTTGTGCAAGTCTAAATGCAGAATGACAACCGCCAGCACTAATGCCACCGAAACTAGCCGTTAAAAGTAAAAGCAGGAAGATTTTTGAATGAAAGATGTTGGTACCTTTGCAATCTTTTCCCAAATATTTCAGAAAAAAATTAGTGACGGAGATATTGGTAAATAGCTTTCATGTGCTCTCTTCTTTAAACCTGGGCATTTCGTATTGTTTGTTAGTGATATTGTGCCGAACAGGTTTTTATGGTGGATCTTTATTGCCTGACGTTTCAACAAATATCGTCTTCTTCGGAGGCCTGAAAGGGATTGCAGTTTTGTATCTGTCTGTCTACACGACCAAACGCCTCCTCAAGCTTGCGCGCTCAGACCTTGTCTAGAATCAACGTGCTGGGATCAATCCGAAGTAACAGTCGCCAACCTTCGATCCACCGCTAAGTCAGTCAGCCCGCACGACTGTGACGGACATCACTGAGGATTGCCCAGTGTGTCAAAGATATATATGGTCTGCGGCTATAGTCGACATAATGATACGAAGGGAAGAAGGTCACTTGTTATCGTCAAGCATTCATTTTCATTGTTCATCCCCGGATTTCCGGCGAATATCCACGCTGCTTCCAAGGTCTTTCGTGCCGAGATCTCGGTCTCATATGCTAGGTCTGAGCGCGCAAGCTTGAGGAGGCGTTTGGTCGTGTAGACAGACAGATACAAAACTGCAATCCCTTTCAGGCCTCCGCAGAAGACGATATTTGTCGAAACGTCAGGCAATAAAGATTCACCATAAAAACCTGTTCGGCACAATATCACTAACAAACAATAGTAAGGAGAATTTATTACATGTAAGACTAGATCCCCGAAACCTTGAACTTCCTAATAATTTTATGTTTGACGCCTGTTCACGATGTACAAAGTCAACTCATCAATTCATCAACAATATCACATCCCCGCCAACCACTTTACAGCTAAATCCCGTTTTGTGGTCAGTTTCGTCAAAGAAATCTTTTTAGGTGACAAGCAGGAAAACTAATCTGTGCAAATCTAGGTGCGGAATGACAACGGCCAGCACTAATACTACCGAAACACTAACCGTTAAAGGCAGCGCCCGGGCAAAATTTCGCCTCTCATGTTTTTGTCATTTTGGGGCCTTTCCACGGCTTTGGTTACAGTTATAGAGTTCAAATTGTCCAAAACCCTCAAAAAATCCGATTTCTGGGAACCCTGTTTGAGGGCGAGGACGGGTTTCGGATTGTTCATTTCCTCGACTTGCCAGCGGAGAGGAGCTGCAACTGCATGGGTGCAGTTGCAACTCTTGCGTAAGCATTCGTCCTCAAGAAGAGGTTTGTGATACGAGGGGCCGCTTGTGATACGTATCACAGGCCCGTATCTCCTTTTAGAGGCCACGTCAAAGAATCAGACCAACGCAGATAGGAGATAGTCTTGGGGCCCGCTCTACAGCTATGTGCTAATCTGGTGGTGGAACTTGGGCGGACACTTTCTTTGAGAAAAAAACAAAAAGAGTTCTTAAAAAAAGATATTGATACCATTGCAATACCTTCCCGAATATTCTCGATGAAATATTAGTAGCGGAGAATCTATTACACTTAAATAATTGATCTAACTCAAAAGCTTTCAATTATAACCATTTTCAAATTACCTTACGTTTCCAAATAACCTTATGTTTATTGCCTAATCAGGGCTGCAACATCTACTCATCAGCAATATTACATTTCCGCTATTATGAAGGGTATAACACAACCTTAGGCAGTCAGACTCACACTTTTGGCGCCGTTGGCGCTCAGTGGCATTTCACGCAAGAAAATTTATACGATAATTTAGAAATTTATCTTTAAGCTTTAAATGTTGGTCGTTCTTGCATGATGCACACATATAGAAAAAATTTTCGAAACCATTTGATTTTCTTCGTTTTCAACTGTTACTTCTAAAACGCTGGCGACGCCAAAGTGCCGCCTTAAGAATGCCAGAGCAAAAGAAGCTCCTCAGAAAGTTATAGGAGAAAAGTTGAAGGAGAAGCAGAAAAAACAGTAGGAGAAAATATAAATTTCGAGTGCAAGGCTCTTGTGTTGCTAGATAACTATGTATGTTTGCCTCATCAGTCATATCAGGGAGGAGCCTATCAATTTTTACGTTTGAGACAAACCCAAGGATTGTGAGATGTTTTTGAAATTCTTCAGAAAAAAAGGAAAGTGAAAATGAAATTATTCACAAATCTTAATCTGTCAAAAAAGATACAAAGATACAATCAAGAAACATTAATCTCTCAAGCACTCTGAGGACTTAGTAAGATTAGTGACTGTGTCAGAAACATTTTTCGGAAGTACGAAGTATTTTTCTTATTGTAATTGTGTTTCTGAGCCTTAAACCAAGATTGTTAACACCTTATTGGATGACGTTTTGGCAATTCGCCTTCTTCAGAGCCTGTAATGGACAGTACGACTTGCAAACTATTCGAATAAACGTCTCTGCGGCCGTGCAAACAAAACTCTAATGCTTCGGTAGATTAGTGATATTAGCTGCCTAACCAAGCACTCACTTTTGAAACCGCCGATAGAGTTCTAATGCCAGAGCGAGCGTTGAATCACTGAATGCATATGTCAGGGCTATTTGAAACGTCTCCGCCGGGTCAGAAGATCAGACTTAAGCCGAGAGCGAGCTTACGTGTAATGGCTAGGCATTTCTCCTTACGATTCATTTTAGGGCTTTGACGTGAATCCAAAATGCCTCTAAACATTTGCGAGCCGATGTCTGTGATTCTTGTGCTAGGATTTTCACTTACTTCGGGATTTGTCTCCGCGTGTTTTAGCGCCCTGTGAGTTCCTAGCGGGGTGGAGGTTCATGATCTATCTTTGCCGCCTAAGTGCTCTCTTATGCGAACACATAGCGCCGCGCTGTCTCGCCTATGTATTTTCCTTATATAAAGTATTTGGCGCACGAAAAAAATGTTTGCAAAATCATTTAGGTTTCACAAGTAGTATTTTGAAATAGAAATATTTTGTCTATGTTTAAGCAAATATATTACATTTTTTGCAATTTATAGCTGATGTAGATTGATTTACATAAACTTCTCGGCCTTCGGTTGGGAGCTTACCGGACAATAAAGCTAGTTTTGGTACACATTGACGACCGCTTGACACATATGGTGTGTCAAGGCTCGTATTTCGTAAAATTTCTACTATTGAGATCCCCACTCGGAAAGTTTTTCTTTGCACTGTATATGGAAACAACCTTCATCATTTTTGTCAACCTTTAAGGGCTACTGTGGGTATACTGTGGATGGCAGTATGCTTGATTTAATCTAAAAAATGTGGACTTGTCAGGAGGAGGCCTTAGTTCCAGAAGGCAGAAATTAAAAACTTGCATGGTCGTCAATATGTTAAACAACTTGACTTATAGCCTGATTTTTTACATTATTCAAAATTATACCGCTAATACAATCGCGATAACGCACATTTGAAGACGAGGAGAGCTTGACCCAAGAATTGACGGCTACACCATGAGGCTGTACGCCGATCACTATACCATGAGCTTGCTAGGCTAGCAAGCTCCTTAAAAAAGGTTTTTGGCTTAAACTCATCTCCTTTATTTGAAAAGACCTCTGTCTCAAAAAAAAATTCTCGGTTAGCCACTGTGCCGAATTCTCTAAGAAAAAACCGAAGGCTTACTACTAACACCTTTCCAGCCTCCATCTTGAAACAAACATTGTCTTTGATGGTCAAAAAGCTGTCTTGAACTTACGACCTGTTGAGCTTGGAGAAGATAGTCATACATTGTAACGTACATCAGTTTTGTACCGACTTACTTTAATAATAGGATTCTCCACCAACAAGGAAGATATTAGGTTGTCCGGAAATTAATGCAGGTTTTGATTTGCAACCGCAGTAAGTCATATCTCATTTTTGAATAGGTTGCAAGGTACTCTTCGATAGAGCAAAGGAAGCTCTGCAAGATGGCTGTCTTGCTTTGCAATAGCTCTGATCCACCACGAGTTTCGAGCCAAAAACTAAAAAGATTCAACTGCCCGAAAAATTGAGAAAAATCGTAACTCAGTTCGTAAAAATTTACAAAAATTCTAACTTGCTCACGTAAACACAATCCACATAAGGCATCTATATATGCCGTTCCAGTATTTTTTTCTCTGTTAGAAATCAGGAAAACAGCAATTTTCGTCCATTTTCTAAAGTGGTGCTGTGCCGTTCGCACATAGGTAGTTGTATACTATATACATGTAGAAGTACAAACATAAATTTCCAGCTCTCTGCAAGCTTTAGTTCTCGAGAAATGTCGAATACAGTTTTCCCTAGTTATGTGGTTTAAGCTAAAATTCAAATTTCTCGAGAAATAAAACTTGTAGAGGGCTGGAAATTTACATTTGTACTTCTACAGGCATGTAGTATACAACTGCTTATGTGGGAACGGCACAGCACCACTTCAGCAAATGGACGAAAATCTCCGTTTTCCTGATTCCTAACAGAGAAAAAAATACGGCAACGGCGTATATAGATGCCTTATGTGGATTGTGTTTACGTGAGCAAGTTAGAATTTTTGTAGGACTTTTATGAACTGAGTTACGATTCTTCTCAATTTTTCGGGCTGTTGAATCTTTTTAGTTTTTGGCTCGAAACTCGTGATGGATCAGAGCTGTGGTAAAGCAAGATAGCCTTCTTGTGAAACTCGCTTTGCTCTATTGAATGGTACTTTGCAACCTATTTGAAAATGAGAAATATATGACTTATTGCGGTTGGAAATTAAAACCTGCATTAATTTTCGGAAAACCTAATACAATTCATTCGATTAATTTTTCATTTTGAGGAAGCAGGAAATACTGTTTTTTTGAATAATTTACTTACTATGAACTGAGTTTTTCTTTTTATACGTGTAATTTATTTTATATGTATAAACCACTGATATTTCTTTTTCGGAAAGCTCATGCGTTCAACACGCTCATAATTACCCAACAATCGCAGCTACGCTTGTTAAGGCGAACAAAATAGTCTCTCGCTTTTTTGTTTCTGTCATTGCTGCAATAATAGCACTTGGTCGCAGCATACCATGTCAAAATAAATACGTCTTCTTCAATAAACTTCCCTTCAAAT